GTATCTAAACTGTCTATAAGCAGCTGGAAACAGTATCCTTAATTGCTGTTTCATTAGAGGCGGAGCCAGGTGCATTAGATTTACAATAAATGACATGCAAATTCATTCATGTTTAAATTGAAGAGGATTTTACTAAGATGACATCTCTGCCATAAGGAGACCAACAATATGCATGTTAGCCATATGGTTGAAGAGCTAGACCTGATTCATTATGTGTATGTTATTTTAGCCATTTCTTCCTATAGCGTAAATGGCTTTCTTTTCATGGTCAGGATATGCAATCAACTGAATAGTCCTTTTAATAATTCGTGGATTGAAGACTTTCCATCAGTTATTGCCAATATTGAGGCATCTACAGACTTTTGGTTCTCTTTAATAGATTATATAAAAGTGTTCCACTTCAGTCAAATGAATAGTTATGCATGCAACTCACAGTGTTACCTTGATGCTTATTGGACTGCAAACAGTTCTACAAGGATTTTGATGGGATCAAATTGGACTTGGATGATCGTGATGATATTGTTAACTTTTTATGGAAACCAAACGATGAATCAATTAATCCTGAGTGTAACTGAAAGATTCATCTATACTGAAAGTTATTGTTAGTTGCAGACTTACTGGCTGTTGGTTAATAACTACAACATTGATCAAAATAGTTTGTTCTCCAACCAATCTACTGCCTCTTCATGTATAGTTAGCATTGAACATATTCTGCACCTACTAAAGCAGTTGTTGCTTAAGGATCTCTCACCCTTAAATCAAGCTATTTACACAGTATAGCATTTACATTTGGGTGTCGGCATGTCAAATTCTCTCTAAATCTGAGTCTTAACCTTAACTGGGAGGCTAACAGCTGAGCTAAAGTCTCCCAGTTCACACCAGTCAATGCCTCACATTCTGAGAGCTAAACATCTATTCAGGTCCAACATGTCTGTCTATATGCTGCACGGCAGAAAGCAGACTTAGCATTATTTCCAAACATGTGTCTTTGCATGCACCATCTCCCATTCCCAATCTCCAATCTTTTATTCTCAACAAATTCAGTGTGATGCTGTGCAGGAATAGTGCAAAACAACAACTTGTGTATATTGATGCATGCTTTGCACGACACTGGACGAGTGTGAATGGACTATTTTGAGACTGTTGAGACTGAGAAGGGAACAACTGGAGCCAGGACCTCTGTGCCCTCTTTTTTGTGCTCCGCGGTCAATCAAATCCAATTTGAATGCAGTGAGAACACAAGGGAAGTCTCATGACTCTGTGCGGGAGCCAAACAGCTCTGCAGTTATTGTCAATAATACCAGCCTTGATGTTATCAATCAATCAGTTCCTGGGATCATTGTTAACCCCTCACTGACCTTCAGTTCGACAATCAGAATGAAAGCACAAAAGAGTGCAATGGAAACACCAATATAATATATAATTTAAAACAAATAATACATTATTGAATCTGTCCAATAAATGCAGTTTGAGCTACAGTGTTAGATTCCCAATGTGGATCTTTGAATTCTCATTTGTTCAACTGATTGGTAGCCATTTGAAAGAATATACAGCCCACCAATTACAGTATAATGATTTACTACATATGAGGGATCAATAACGAACCTATTCTGGGTACCTAACTGGAAAAATATTTATTCAGAAGGCAAGAAAAGGAGAAGTTAGGGAATAAAGGGATTAAATAAAAATATGTTGAAAAGGTTAATCTTTTTTATGAATGAAAATGTAGTTACTTTGTACTCACAGGATACAGTATTGTTGTTGCTGGGGGACAAGGCACTTTTACTGTGCAATAAAATATTATATCATACCATTTATCTTAAAACCATGATTCACTGACATACTTTTGTCAAAGGATATTGTAGAAAAAAGACTGCTGTTTGTGCCTTTAATTATTTTTTATTCAAAATTATATTATTATACCATTCTAGAGAACAGTTGAAGAACCTAGACCAGTTGACTGAAATGTGTGGCAAGCTATTCCTCCTGCAGACAGAAATATCTTAAAGTGGACCTATCATGCTATATTTGAATAATATATTGTAGGGCCATACCTATATAAAACATGTCTGGGAAGTTTTTTTTTCAAAATACCAAACAGATCATGCATTTTAGCCATGCCTCATTTCGCTCTATTTGCTCTTTTCCAGCCCTGTTTTTGCAACGGCTGATTCTGTGAGAAGTCTTCTTCGCTGCTTTTGTGGCAGACTACAGCGCCACTTATGGCGCGTTTCCACTACAGCGCGGAGCACGGTTTAAGAGGGCTGTGACGTCAGCGGCCCGTTTTTGGTTGCGTTTCCACTTGGCCTAGTACCGGCCGGCGGGTCCTAATTCACAGTTTTTCTGGCCTCATAACATCGTAGGTCTAGGGCCAGAGACAACGAGGCTGAGTCGGGCTGAGTATGCTAAACTAGAGAGAGAATCGCTGGCAAGGGGGCTACAACTACAACAAGATGGACATATTTGACCGTGATTTAATTGTAATACACGTTTCAAAATGATGCCGAAGTAACAACATACTGATACCGGTTAGTAAAAACCATGAATTAATGCTTTGACAAGTCTGCAGACAGACGGCAGGTGAAAAACCTTTTAAAATGCGTGTTTTCTAAATGGAGATTGGCTAAGCTGACGCAGTATATGCTCCGACCGTCCACACTCACAACAACGGCCTATACAGACATAAATAAAGCAGCGACTGTATTCGCCATGACACAGGCAGTCTGTGGTTTGTACTTGTTTAACTTTTGTCTAGTTTCTGAACATATATGAGGAGCTGTAAGCTGTGAGTGCTAACAGCTAACGGCTGTGTTGTTTTTCTGGGGTTCTCATTGAAGATGACGTCACGGCTCCGCCTACACTGCGTTACTATAGATACTACCCCAGTTCCTAAACTGTAATGGAAATGCGCCATAAAGTGAGCCAGTCCTAACGAGGCCTAGCCATACCGAGCGAGGCCGTGCGGGGCCGTGTAGTGGAAATGCGCCATTACAGGCCTGGCATATGTACTACAGCGTCTCCAGCGCTTTCGAGCGGCAATGGCCGTGGCCCAACCCCCCATTCCCCTGATAGGTGCAGAGTTGCCCATATAGGCGGAGCACCCCTTTTCTGACGTCAGAAAAATTCAAATCTGTATCAGCTCCGTTGCAGCCCCGTTTTTAGAGATTTGGGTATGGAGGAAAAGAGAGACACTTGGTGAGTTCCCTGACACACACACATATTCATGTATAAAAGACGTACAAAGGTGCATTTTGCATGATAGGTCCCCTTTAACAATTGTATGGATTGCCATGAAAATTGGTACAGATGTCCATGGGGCCTAGAGGATCAATCATACAGACTTTGGTTATCCTCACACTTTTCCTCTAGCTCTACCATGACACTGACATTAGTGTTATACTGTATCAGATGGATTGCCATATCAGGATGGATTACCATCACTTGGTGACTTTTCATCAATGGTCAACTTTGAATTTGTCCAATACTTTGGTTTGTTATTTAATGTCCCATAACATTTTCACCTGTTCTAATTGCCTTTATCTAACCACTTAAGTATTTTATATATATTTGACAGAATATTTGAATTGTAATTTGCGGGTTTTAATCTAAAGTGTGACTGAATATCTTCTTTTTTTATGTAGGGGACATATACTAAGCTCATTCCCATGCTGAATACCTGGTATCATAATGTTAAATAAGGAATGTAGTTATTATCTTCTAAAGCTTTCCTTCTGTAATTACTCTTAAAAGTTATTTAAGAAGAAGCAAGATAAGATGCACCTTCTGCTATATGAGAGTGAATCTGAAACAAAATGTTAATTACATAACAATTTAGGACCAAGAAGGCCTCCTTGATATCTATGGTGCAATTCCAACACATTTTTTGTTGGGTGTGATGAGCTGTTGGATTTCCCCCCTCAAGGTTCAACACATTCCTGGCTGCACTGGTCAGTATGATTTTAATCTGTTTTCACAGTCAGGCAGCAGAAAGACACAATCTTGTTTGGAATTCCAGTCCCACTTTAAACCTTCAATGTCTCCTTGTGGACATACCAGAGAGGAATCAAGGGTGGCAGACGTTTTTTCCAAGTGTGTGTCCCACATGTGCTCACCATCAAAACATCAGAGCCTCACGACAGCTATCATATATTTTTACACTGTCATATCTCTCAGGGGCATCACAGTTGTGGCACACATAGCTTTGTTACAGCTGAAAAAACAAAACGTAAAGGGGTGGAGGCGACGTCAGAGGCGGTGAATCCCACTGTTGATTCAGCAGAGGCAAATCAGAGTGTGTTTGTCACTCTGTGAGGCAGACTTCACAGGCCCGAGTCAAAAGGCAGGATTAAGTGTGAAAGACACACCAAAACCACTTAAAAAAAATATGAAGAGATGAGTTGTGACACTCATAATGACAAGATGGAATAACAGGAGGGGTTGTTCACCACAGACGGGGTATGAGAAGTGCTAAAGTGGTGAGCTGTCGAGCTGAGAAACTCGTAGGCCTCGGTTTTAAGAAGAAGTGGCAACATCTAATTAAGTGAGCTATCCCATCATCTTTAAATGCAGAGTTTTGATTGTAGAGTAAACTAACAGAACAAGCGAATGACAAATTTGTAGCCTCAGCAATGTAAGAAGTGCTTTCCCAGAAACATAAAATAACCATGTGGTATTCTGGTAGTCACCCATTATCAAATCCCTGTTTAAATTCCATTTAACAGCCGCTTTGGTACCACTTTTTTTAGACATATGCACTTGAGTGTATACAGCCTACATTAGAAACCTCTTATTCTTAAAAAGCAAGAATAGGATTTTAAATGTGAAGCATGTGAGTGGCATCACACATTTGCCTTGGGTGAACCATAAGGAGTGAACTGTTACCAAGTAAATAATTAATTGAAATACGACCTAAAATCTCAAGAGCCACTCATTAATTAAGCATTTAAGTTCATTCTGGGCCTTGGAAGCATTATTTTTGACAGAAAAATCCCAACTCAAGGGTCACTTAATGGCTTTATTTAGAGCTGTATCATCAAGTGTTATGGATTAAATCATTACAGCAATTGAGCTCACATGTCAACAGAGCAAACTCCATACATTGATGAAGACCATGTGACAGAGAGTTGAAAGCTCTGGAGAAAGCTAAGAGTAGACTTGCGTTAAAATGGATTTGTCAAACCACTCAAAAATGCTCTTTGAGATCAAAGACAAATAGATACACTCTCCTTTCAGCCAGTTATATATAGAGTTAAGTAAGCTTAGCTAAGAATAAAAGGTCAATACAAGGGGAAACAGCTAGCTTAGCTCTTTCTAGAAGAATTCGCCTACTAACACTTCTAAGCACATTAATAAACACATTATATATGTTTTGTTTGATCTGTAAAAACTCTACGGTGTAAAAATGATTATGGTTTTATAAAAGTTACGTGTCTAGACTAGCTGTTTCTTCCTTAAGCTAAGCTAACTGTCAAAGCTAACCCTCCGTAGCTTCACGTTTATAGATAACAGTGGTATCTAAACATTTAACACTTGGCAACAAAGTAAATAAAATAAAAACTCCCATTATTCCTTTACTGATAGACTCATATCCAGCTTATGATTTCATATCAAACTGTGCCATCAGCTGAGCACAAACGACAACATGAATATTAACAACAAAGTGCTGCCTTTTAGAGTGATAGGTCAAACAATTGTTCCAAAAAAACACATTTATAAAGGAAACAAGAGTCGGTGACATCTGACTCTAAACAGCCCTATGTTTTCCACGGTCACCAGCATTGTTGTTTGCTTGATCCGCTGCCAATCAATATACATGGCAGGTCAAGGGTCACAGCCCACATTAGGACGGGCCGCCCCCTCTCTGCAGGGAGTATTTCCTGTGGTAGTCTGCATGCGGCTGCCAGTGGGAGGTCAATCACCAGGAGGCCAAAGGTTAAAGAGGGTGGATGTATCAAGGAAATTAGTTTCTCCTCTTTAACTTCCAAATATGCAAATCCTTCAATTGGAAGTCTCAGATTTCCTTACCCTTTAGTATTCTTTTGTAATCTATGATGTAGTAAGAAAATATAAGATGTATCACCATAACTGTATCTAAATCACCTCTGTGAGAACTGCACATTCATGAATGACTGGCATGTGGGAGTTTTTGTTGAAGCCATAACATAATGGATATGTGAAGTGCATGTGAAGAAATTCCTCACATTTTCAACCTCGAAACAGAAATACACTGCTAACCCATTTAGCAGCTAGTTGTTAACGTTAAGGCAACTGGAAAGGGAACGAGTAAACGAAAAAAAGCACTTGTAATTAACTACATTTCAGCACAAAGAATCATGAATATTCAGTCTTTTTACAAACCATTTCACTACATTTTGAAGCCTCGTTATTATGTAGTATTTGTTTTCCGGAACAAATCATATAACTTGGATTCATAGCTACAGTACAACCAGTACACAGTTTCAAAGTGTGCACAAATAATACAATAATAATAAGTAAAGCACAGTTTATTTAAGGAAATATATTTTTAAAGTAAGAATTTGACCTTTTTGGACATTGAGTGGCCATGTAACAAGATGTAAATATAACGTGACACATTCTGCTTTCTCCTGTACGATCCGTAAAAACCTCCCAAAAGACACCATAGATTGGTTGGTGAAATATGTCTCTCAGGTATGAAAACATTCCTTCTGTTTGACACATACAAGGAGCCTGCGGCTTCTCAACAGTAGATAAATGAAGTGCTATACCTGAAACAGCAGGGAGATAAGGTCTTTACAAATCAGCAACATGTGTAGCAAACAGTGTTTACGCAATCGCTTTAACCAAACCTCTGTAAGCATTTCAGAGCTGGGACACATCGATCAATAGTAACGGCAGTACCAGTCAGTCAATTAATGGCTTTTTCCATTGGTTGGCGAAAAATAAAAACTCTTTGGCAAATATTAAACTAAAAGGGCACTTGGAGAACAAAGACCTCCGCCAAGGCCAAATGCCCTATCGCACAATGTAAACGAAAGGGAAAAACAACGCTGCAAAATGATATGGGATCTTTCTTTGACCATGCAATAGGCTAGAGGTTTTCGCAATAAACAACTGACAAACAAAGGAACAAAACCGAAAAACATAATGTAAGTGAAATATGTTCTTTAAAACAATCTGCATAATCGAGTTTAGACAGATTTAAATGATTGTGGGATAAAAACAGCTGTCTTTAAGTTGATATACATTAAATCTCACCATCATAATGTCTCTTTTTCTCAGCAGAAGAGATTCCTGCTGCTGAAATTCACATTTAACAAAGTGCTACAGCATTCATAACTGTCATTTCCACCCTATGCCCAGGGTCCCCAGGCTCCAGTGGGACCCGGGTCACATCGGGGGTCCTCATCGGGGAAGTTTATCGGTAAAGCACTTTTCTGGTATTGGTTGAGCCTAGTGAGAAGATACTCTACTACTGTGGGGAAGTGAGCGGATAATTCATTCCTCTCCTCTGGATCTTTTTCTATGTCAAACAGCATTACGGGCTTCAGTGGATCCGCCTGGGGGGGGTTTGAATCGGAGCTGTTGTGCCCGGGTCGCGGAAACCAAACGTCACAACCTGGAGGAAATAAGATGAAGGAATCAGATTGGCAACCATGGTGGGAAGTAGCTCAATACATTAACACAAGTACTGTATTAAAGTACAATTTTAACTTACTTCACCACATTTGAGAGAATATTACAATTTTGACTGCACTGCCTTTGTCTGAGAGCTGTTGTTACTTTTTGTTAGATACATTTATTATAAAAAACAAACAAAATATAAGCCTGTTCAATAAAATGCTGGATTAAATCACTGGCTCCCAATATTTTTTGATTCATGGCCCTTACCTGCTAACCAGTTAGCTAGACATTTGAAAACCTCTCATTTAAATAACTATTTAAGGCCTAAAGAGGTAAATGTATATTATTATAACCATATACTATATATTCATCCAATATTTTACAAAGTAATGCATACAGAATGATTGTCAAAACTGTTATTTTAATTTTCCTCTTCAATCAATCAATTCGCCACCCATTAGATTCATTTTGTGACCTTTTGAAGGGGCTTGACCCCCATTTTGGGAACCACTGGATTACATTTACTGTATAAAAACTAGTTTAAACTAGCTCTACCAACACCAGCTTCACAGGGGTGTTTTTTATACTTCTATATAAAAATATTTTTACTTTACTAAGGGATCCAGAAACGTCTTCCACCGCTGTTCACACAGATAAGAACTGTGTTTGATTTTCCGCTTCGCACTTAGACTAAACATGTCATTACGGTTGTCAGGAGATACGGACCTGGGTAGCCCGTCAGCAGCTTCCAGTTGGAGGATCGGATGGCGGCGTGAATGGACACATTGAAGCCAGAATTGGCCCAGGAGCCTCCGCTGACCACCTGAGCCAAAGATGACTGACGCTGAGTGCCAGGACCTGCGGAGAGGAGAGGACAGAGCTGATCATGGAGGTCATCCATCTCTAAAAATATGCCTAAAACTAGCACCCGCTGATTAAAACGATATTAGACTACCACTGGATACAAAACGCCCTCTGTGAAAGTCCATGTAAACCATACGGGAAGGTAGACTGGCACCGAAAGTCAGTGCATACCTGAGAATCGAGTGAAGGTGTCAAAATAAATACACCAATAAGAAAGACCTCTTTTCTTGCTGTAAAACCAACATTGAAGCTGCAGGAATGAGCGCTTCATAAGAATACTTCCCTTTAAGAACAGAAACTATTGTACGTATTCATTTCCTTAAAGTTTTAGGAGGAATTGGACTATTATGGTGGTACTGTGGTCAACTCAGCACCAGTCTTTTCATATCTGCCAAGCACAATGAATAATTTGCCATTACTGCTGTCGGGCAGATTTTTAATACAGTATCAAACGAGAGAAAACTGGCACCATATCACAAGTCAAGGCAAAAGTAAATAATTGGCCTTTGTTCTGAGGGTGTCCAGACATTTCTGCAGCCTCCTGCCACAATCCATTTCTCCTCTTATGGAAAATGTCTACCAGAAGTGAGCACATTTTTTTTTTTTAAGTGGCCTTGAGAGTATTATCAGGTTCATGCTGTGTTTGACCCCTAACAATATGGTCCTGATTAGACAGATTTGCAAGTCATTTCTGCGTCCTAACGCTGTCGAAAACAAGTATTTCATCACATTCTTTGCTCATAGACACAAACCCCACCCACACCAAGCCAATGTTCCCATCGGAGCTCCTTTTTATGGAGTGGATTCAACCACAGCGACATGACTGGAGAATTAAAACATTTCCGATCTCAGCGTTTTTGCGACCACATGATAAAAGCTCTGACATTGAAATCTTCACTGATCATTGCGGAAAAGTACATGTGGCTCTCTTAATTGTTCTCACATGCATTAAACTGGGTTTCTCAATGCAGAGCAATCCCGAACCACACCAGATCTGTGTAAACAACTTGCAGAGCTCATGTCCTTTACACGAGAAGGGAAAACTGCAGTATTGACATCAAGCGAGATTCAGGTGTTATGCAAGCAGGTGGGAGATTGAATTTCAAGCTTTTGCTTCTTTAAGGAAAGGAGCCTCAAACCCCAACTCACATACTGTCCATTTCTTACATTCATTCCTGCATGAGTGCCTCAACGCCAGGCCCTGCTCATCTGGATCCAAAGCAGGAGAATCCACAAATGGGCTCAAAGAAAAGGAGGGAAAGGCGGGGGGGGGGGGAAGTGGGAAGAGACCCTGAGAGAGCAGAAGGGAAATTTGGGGGTGATTTAAGGCTTGGGCCAAGTCCAGGGTTTCTCCGCGAGAAGTTCAGGGACCCCTCTGTGACCCATTTAGTCGGGATCCCTCTTCTCACACAGAATGAGAGCAAAGAAGGGGGATTTTGAAAAGCAACTTGAAAGGAGAAACTATGTAAAAAGGGGACAAAGCTCTTTCATGAGCTAAATGGAGAAAACGCCAAAAAAGGAAAGCATAGAAAGAGAAAAGGGGAAGAAAGTGGAGCAGTCTGAAAGGAAAAGAGGAATCTCAGGCTGGAATGCATCAGGAGGAGCTGGCTGTCACTGTGGTCGCTGACAATAAAGTCTCAAACATAAAACATGGACGCTTGTAAAGCAGCAGTGTCGTTTTTCACTCTCTTATCCTTCAAATGATTTAGACGGTGATGCTCGACAGTCAACTTTCAGGGTGATTTGAGCTCTGCTCGCTTATGGCTGTGTAAACAGAAGTGTCTAAAAATATGATAAATCAATGATGGGACTATAAATAAAGTATTCAGTCAAAACAGGCTATTTTGGTGTATTCCCAGGAGCTCTTGTCACATTTTTAGATGTGAGATGAGATGTTAAAGGTGTTAACTTTAGTAACTAAAACGACAGGGAATTAACTCAGCTTTAAGGAGATTTGTCTCACCTTTTAACTCAACTTTTTTTGTTTGTTCTACACACACCTTTTAATGTTTTTGTCGCACTGCTCCCATCAACCTCTCCATTTGCAGAAGACAGCTGTTTTTAGTTTAAAAAATCTTTGAAAAACATCACTGCACTCTTTCAACGGAAGACAGAAACAGTCAGCAACTAGCTGGCAAGTACATTAAACAGCATTTTAACAGCTGAATATATGTTGAGTTGGTGACACTACATCACAGCAAAAAGGGAGGGTAAATATCAGACCTATGTCCAACTTAATGTGTAAATAGGCAACCATTGGATTTATAAAGACGATAATCTGTCATGGTTGTATTGACAGCTTGTTCCACATGCTCAAGTGACCAAAACTAATCAATTAATGCTGTTTTGAACTATAAAAACTGGGTTAGGGTTACAACATTTGTTTGATGCAAATGTTTTGGTAATCATACCTTTTGTACCTTGATTTTGATTTAAAAAAAGGATGTTGCTACTGTTAAAAATCATGATCCCCCACCAGTGAACGATACCAGGTGTGTGTGAAGCTGAAACTGAAACCAGATCTCTGTAAAGTTTTCCAGGTGACTATAAATTTAGTAGCAGAATATATTGTACATCACATGTTAAAGAAGCGCTCTCCACTTTTACACACTGACTCAGGAGGAAGTGTAATCTGTAATAACTTTTTAAAGGTTCACATGATAGACACCAGTGAATAAAACTAGATACGACCCTTTAGAAAGCTGCTCCTGCACCAAAATAAAGTGCTCCATACGGTATTTATCAGTGATAATTCCTCAACCACCCCTTGCTGAAGAGAAGAGAAGTACTGTACTTCCAGGAGATGAATGAAGCGGTATGCATCTACTCTCATGACGACCCATTATGTGCCCATTATGGCACATCTGTGAAACATTTCAGCACAAAAATGCACTCCTTTTACCTCTTCTATTTTCGAATGTGTAACTAAAGGTGCAGCATTCTCCACAGAGACAGAAATAGTGGCCTCAGACCAGGACCACCTAATATTAAGTGGTTAAGACAAGAATGAGGCCACTCCACTGTGTCTGACAGCCGAACAAAAAAAGGGAGTCACATGACCAATTTCCTGGAAACCTCCCCACAATCACAGAAACTGTAAGCACACACACCCTGAACCTCAAACATCGACTATCTCACATTTCAACAATGTCGACTGATTACAGTTTCAACAGAGACTGATTACAATTTCAACCTTGTGTAATCAGCCTTCCTTACAACAGCATAACAAATAGCATTTTATGAGGTACAGTAATCACAAAGAAATAACCAAAAAGTGAAGACAATCAAGCCAATTCACAAAAATGATTCAGATTACATTTGTAAACACATGGAAGATGTTTTTAAAGAAAGTTTCTTATGATTATTCCATGTCAAATGTACTTTCACAGGCTAGATATGACGTGTACTTCATAAAGCAACCAAAATGAAGGGACATCCAGTGATAATAATCTCCATGTGAGAATCACCTCTCCTCTCCTCATAAACTCTTAATCCAATCAAACACATTTCAAACACCCATAATAAACTCAGCGTTGACTTTTAATGTGAGTTTAGTCGGACGTTATGCAACTCCATGCTATTCTTAGGCCCCTGTCTGCCTTGACTTGAGTTCATTGGATTCACGATGTCTGGCGTATTTGTGAATACTGGCTCAAACAATGAGCCTCTTGATACTTGTTGGGAAGAGAGAGAAAACAGTAGAATTACAACATTAGAAACCAAGCATCATACGTCATAGATTTCATAAACACAGATAGGCAGCACAAGGTTTTCATCATCTTAACAGGCTGTATCACATGTGTGTCACTGGCTGATTAATGAGGATTACAAAGAGATTCTCCATGAGTTTGTACTGGTGTCCTGCCACAGTCCAAACACATGACGTGTTCTAACAATTAGCTAAATTGTCTGCAGGAGTATATGGTTGTCTGTCTATATTTGTCAGCCTTGTGACAGACTAATGACTGGTGTATCCTGCATCTCTCTCCCAGTGTGAGCTGGGAAGGGCTTTTCTGATGACAGATTGAAGGATGAGAGGTCACTGGATATTTTTAAAGGGGCCCTGTTACACTCATTTTCAGGTTCATATTTATATTTTGTGCCTCTACTGTGACATGTCTCCATGCTTTAATGTTCAAAAGGTCTTTCTTAGGCTGGTGCCCCACGAGGACGAAAACGGGTTGTATCCGCATATTTCTCTTGCGTATAGCCCTTTTTGCCACACGAGGCCGGAACTAAACGATAGAAACGGACCCCGCAAACGATAACGGGTCCAAAGGTGGATAGATAGGGAACGGAGCGCTCTGGGGGGTCCAGCGGCTCCGTGTGATCGCCTCTATACGATCATTTTCTGATAATGATGACGCAATAGCCCCGCCTCTCCCCACCTCTGCTGCTCACCCCCGCGTCAAAGTAAACTGCACACTGAATTCAGAATATTTATCTTTCTCTCGATATGGACATAGATTAGACTTCACTCGCATTTGACAGGACGGAGACACGCAGCTCTGCTCACCTTCAGCTCCTCCTGCTGTGATGCAGCGGTGAACGGAGCAAAACACACACTTCAAGTCAGATCATCACCCTTAGCTATTTTAATTACCTCTCAAACTACCTAAACTAGTTATAAATATGTTTATTTTTACTGTCGGGTTTACTTACTGGATCAGCTGCTGCATGAGACAGACACTGACGCTGTCAGAAGAGAGGAAAAAGAGACAGGCTCCGTGTATTTTATTATTATATATCATTATATAGAGTCGTTATTATTTTTTATTATTATAACAAAGAATACCTTTGACCGGCACTTTTATAATTTTGTCCGGAAGATTTAAACTTTAACACACGTTGACCGGCAAAAAACTCTGCCCGGTTCCCTCGGCCCCCACCGCGGAGAATAAACAGAAGGGTAACCATGACAACCATGCTTCTTCGCTGCTTTTGTGGAGGAAGTTACAGCGCCACGTACAGGCTCGGCATATGTACTGCAGCTTTTCCAGCGGTTGGAGCTAAACGGAGCTGTCTCGTGTGAACAGACACTATCCGGTGTATATTGCGTGTGGACGGAAGCTTTTTTGCGATTGTGATTGCGTTTGTGTATGCGTTTTCCCGTATGCGTCCTCCTGGGGCACCAGCCTTATACTGCCTGTGCTGCAGCAACTCTTTTCACCCTCCGTCTGAAACCAGAGCCCAGTCTGCTCTGATTGGTTAGCTGGCCAGCTATGTTGTGACTGGTCAAGTCTTACATAGTGATGTCACTATGTTAAGGAAGTAAACAAAGGAGTCCAGGCCGGGGCGGGGAGAAACTCTTTCTGGAGGGAACTTTGGGATTTTAGCCTATGCAGACCATTTACATGCACAAAAATACCTACCAATTTTTATAGCTAGGGCTTGCATCAGAATTGGCTGAGATCAAATGTTATCATTTGAACCAGAATAGAATTGATCTAGCAAAAAACCAAACCAAAAACCTCCTCCTCATCTCCTAATTCTGCCGCAATTGCTCGGACCACACCCATCATCAAACTCTGACTTCATTCGGATGACTGTGTCTTGGTTTGTTTCAACATTTTTGCATTGACATCTAATAAACACATGGCAAAGTACTCAGCCTGTCTGGTAGTTCTCGCTGCAGTAGGTGTCTCCAGGATCACATTTGGCCCTAATTACTGAGATACTCACACGGTGCTAACAATAACAGCGTCGCTATCACTTGTATAAGTCCACAGCCCTAGGTTGCCAGTATACTCTTACATAGTGAAATATCTTCAGGAATCCCCCTCTCCTCCACACCTTTTATAATCAGATTAGACAGGGTCTCTGTCCAGGATATGAACTTCTCTTGACACAACTATTTCCGTGTCTTTTTATGTGAACAACAGAGTGCAACACTGTGGATGTCGTCCAGGACAGTGCCAAAAAAATGGTCGCTGTTATATCCATATTTTAACAAAATCCTACATATTTGCTTTTGCCATATTTCAGTCTGGACTAAGGCAGCTGGCTGACACACCATACACTGTAATGAGGGTTCACATTGTCCAACATTCAAATGTTATTGAATTATGTATATATTTGTACTCATTGTAGCATATAATTTAAAAATCCACAATAATCCATACATTTATCATACATACAAATTATCCTTAAAGTCAGAATGTTGTATAAGAAAGGGATGATTTTTTCCTCATTTCCTTTTCTCAATAAAACACAGAAGACATATAGCTGCAAAACGACTGAATGCAAACGGAGTTCCCAGACTTCTATAAAGATGTGTAATGATCTCAGCCTCTTGGCAGTATGTGCTGCAGTGAATACTTTTTGGTGGGATATCTGCAGCTTGTGTCAGCCAACGTTTGTATTTCACAAGATCCTATTTCAAAATGAATGTCAGACTCCTCTCTTTACCAGGTCTGAATGAGTGCATAGTGACATGTACACACACTTTTTCACCACAGTGCAGTTAGGAAACTCAACCTCAACTTTGTCCAAATCCACAAATGAAACCCTGCTGGAGGTATTACGTGTTATATGTTCTGATGAATATAAATCACAGTGCGGACAGAGTGGGAAAAACCCCATTTATGAATAATGAAGCATGTGAACTTACATGGAGCGATGTCATTATACAGAGGGTCAATGTTGTGCAGCAGCTCCAGTCTGGGTGAGGCAAAGCCTTTGCTGCAAGATAAAAAGTAACCGTTAAACATATGGATACACAACTAACACACACAACACCGTGTCTGACTCATGCACTGTAAAATCCTCGGGGATCTGTAAATCTAAACCAGCTGGCCATTGCTCACCATGCAGTCGTATGCTCTGACCGCACTCCACCACAGAGAAAACACACTACTCTCACTGACCACAGTGTCTGATAACACAACTAAAATAACTCCTGCCTGCCTACTGTTCTGGGCCCTAATTTGCCTTTTTTATTTTCCACCGGCCAAGCTGCTGTTTTCTGTAACAGGCCAATTAAATACAAGATGAAACTGTAAAAAAGCAGTGAAAACAAACAGCAGTTTGAGCCCTGTGTTGTTTTGCACAACACACGGCAACCGGCAGCAGTAAGCGGTCAGCTGACGTGCTTCAGCCAATCAGGTCAAGTGGAGGCTGTGAGTAGTAGTTTGTGGTCCAGGCTAAGCATTTTCTGCTGCAGCCCTTCATTTCCCCTGCTTTCACTGTGTCCACATTTAGTTTACAAATATAACATGTCAGTCATGTAGTAGTCAGTGACAGCCTGTGTGATGACCTGAGTACCTATTAACATGCAATGTAGTTTGTGGTGTGTCACCAGTAACTCAATCTTTGCAGTGTTCTCCAAAGCACAATTCAATATTCTACGGATAAAATAATTCTCAGGTATGTTCCCACATAAAAGGATTTGTAGCTAAAATAATGAGTTTATCCAAAAGCAGGATTTCATAGTTCTTAGAGGCAGAGGAGGGGATGGAGAGAGGATCAGGGGAGAAACGAAAGGGATGGAAGGACTACAGATTTGTGTGAGAATGACTGATGGAATTTCCTTCTCTTTGAGCTCCCATTGCCGAAGTAACAAAGGGCTTATTGAAGGAGCAGGGGCTCCTACAAGAAAAAGACGCTCGGTCAGGGAGACAGGCGGAGGCAGTTGGAGCTGGAGCACATGGGGGGAAGGATCGGAAAGAGGCACAGAGAGAGGGCAGGCTGTCAGATTTAAGAGCTGGTATCACTCACATTGTAAACTCTGACCTACCACCCAAGAAACGTCTTCAGCTGAAGAATTCAAATCCCACATGTGTGAAAGATATTTACAGTTCAGCAGCTCACCTGATTGTGTTCCACACGTTGAATCCGTCCAGTGGCTTGGTGCCGTTGGTGCTCCCTCCGGCCAGGCCAACGAGGGTTGGCAGCCAGTCAGAGATGTGGATGAGTTTGTGGCTGACGGTCCCGGGTTGCTTCAGCAGCGGGCTCGCGACAAACCCCACTCCCCGGATCCCTCCTTCCCACAGAGACCACTTCCTTCCTCGCAGCGGCCAGTTGCTGCCACCGCTCAGCGTCTGACCTCCGTTATCTGGGGACAAAATGTAATGTCACAAGGAGAAGAAGACAAAGGGATTTCAAATCAGTAGAGATAAGAAAAAGGCATACAGAGGAGATCTGGGGAGGTGACTGTGTACTAAATGCTTAAAAAGACTACAGCCTTGTAAGCTCTGTTTAGAAACCAATACCACTAATGCAGTATTTGGACAGAATGCAGATTCCATGTTCTTCCCGTGGAGAAGAGAGAGCAGCCAAACGAATATTCCTATGTAATGTTGGTAATGTTGCTTTTACTCCAGACAGACAATTGACATCTGTGAAAATACCTTTGAAGACGCAACACGCTGCTGGATAAAATGTCCAACAAATATTGTTTCCACTACCCTTACAACCGAATCATGTAGTAACATACATTAGTAAAAGGGCCTAAAGCCATGCGGGTAGTTACATTACACATTGTAATATTTTCTGTGATGTTGAACTAAAGGCGAGGCTCTAATCATGTCACCTTAGTTAGCCCATCCAGCATGCTAACATTTGTTATTTAGCACTAATACTGCTAAGGCTGGTGGGAATGTTATTACCTGCAGGTATTTAGTCAAATAAAAAGATGTTTGACTATTTACATTTTGACCTGATGATGGCCGATGAAATATAAAATATTATGTATATGTTTTTGTTTTTTTCATTTAATCGTTTATTTGAATAGGGACAATGCACATTAATGAACACTTTAGACAAATAATGCTTCAAGTGTAAATATGCAGGATTTTAGCTTTGAGCTCATTTCCATCCGTAGTCCCTGACATACAACATATAAGAACATGACATTTGTAAACATAGCAAAAAATAAATACATGATATGTAAAAGAGCAAGAGCAGCACACACAAGTATTTACCACATGGCAGTACACTATAGCAGCAACGACATATAAAGTGCAAGAGATGATACAAGAGATGCATAAAGTGCAAGAGGAGATACCCCTGTGTTAAAGTGCATTTAGCGGTGATTGCACGTCTGTTTGTTTCTCAACCATTCTTTGAGTTGACCTTTGAAGCTATTGAGACAATCCCGTATCTCAGTAGGGAGGCTATTCCACAATGAGCTGCCTTTAATGGAGAGGACATTTTGTCCAAAAGTGGTCCGTCTGCAGTGGACCTAACAGTCTCCTCTGGTTTCTGACCTAGTGCAGCGTCCAGTGTGTTTTTTGTGGATGAATTCCCCTAAGGGAGGGGGGGGGGCAGTCCATGTAAACATTTATAAATAAAACAAATTCTTTTAAAAAAAACTTTAAATTGTCAAAGCTCAAGAAATTGTGTTTTTCAAGGATGGTACAGTGGTGGTATGAATTTGGCTTTCTGTCAAACACCTTGATAGCTCTCTTGTACAGCTGTTCTATGGGTTTCAGGTTTGTGGCACAAGCAAACGTGATCTGTTATATGTATAACAGATCATGCTCATTTTCAGGTTTTATATTTGTATTTAGTTTCTCTACTGTGACACGTTTACATGCTTTATTTTTCTCATACTGCCTGTGCTGCAGCACCTCTTTTCACCCTCGGTCTGAAACCAGAACCCAGTCTGCTCTGATTGGTTAGCTGGCCGGCTCTGTTGTGATTAGTCAACAGCTTAGAGATGTCCCGCCCTTTAGTCTATCAGGTACAGTGTGTTGGACTTCTGTTGCAAGCCAATAGAAGTGCAAGTGTTAAGTATTGATGTCACTATATTACAGAAGTAAACAAAAGCAGTCCAATTGAGGCGTTTCAGGCAGTGTGGGGGAGGGATTTTAGCATTTGCAGACCATTTACATGCACAAAAACCTATATAACACACTACAGGAAAGGGAAAACCACAGAAAGCATAATAAACAGTTCATCCTGAGGAGGAAGTTAATGTGTGCATTTAATTAAATAGCAATCGATTCTGGCGATAACAAAAGTCAGTAGGATTGATCCTCATAGGAGCATGAATGTCTTACAGAATTTCATACAATACAATTGAAGATATTTCAGTCCGAACCAAAGTTGTAGAACGACAGGAATATGCTACCCATAAAGCATTGAAACAATGCAGCAATGCTCATCTATTTGTCTCCCCTGTTAGACAAACAGTCCAGCATAATATCCATCCATTTCACAAAGGCACACACACACACTGCAGTTAGAGTGACTGTCATCATCCCAATGAGCCTGTCCAGTATAAACACACTTGTCCAATCACATCGAGGCAGGGCTCTCTGTGTCATGCGAGTCCAGGAAGTAGTCTGTGCCGATTCCCGAACTGTACTGGAAAGGTCCGTCTGCTCCTTAATGCCTTTTCAAGCTGCTTTGGCTCCCTACAGGCCGATTCTCTCTTTTTTCTTTGCCAGCTTCCCCTCCAGTTTCACCTAATGCTCTTGAGCTTCATTTGCTTACAGTAAAGGCAGAAACTTTCGTCATGGAGGAATTCCAACGCTAGGGTTAATTTCCTTCCTGTTGAGCGTGATTCATCTGGGTCAATTACTGTATAACAGCTTACAAAAACAATTGTAGATATGACTAATGGAGCAATTGATAGACCTTACTCTGACTTATTTCGGGAAAGGATGTTTATCTTTTATACACTATATCCTGGTCACTTTTACATACAGTAACCATTGCATCACATTGAAGAAAGCAGGAAGTATCTGGAGTTTTTCCTCCATCAGAGTCTGCCCGGCACATGGCTGGCTGAATCCTTCCACTTAAAGGCAACCAAATGTGTAGAACAATGAAACAGGCCACCTACCGCAGGCCATAAGACAAACTTGCACTTTATTTTTGCAGCATTGTTCCAGTCTTCTAATTACCCTTTTTTTTAAACTAAAAATAACCCTCAAAGGAGTTACCTACTTCAGATGCAATTCATTACAGGTTCCACATGTGGAAACCTGAGAGCAGGCACATGTTTAGACGACGCTGCACGCCCCTTTCTTTGCCTTATTCTGTTCTTCATCAAAGGTCTATATGACGGGTCCTTTTTAAGGTTCAACCATACCGAGACTTCCGAGGTGTGCTTGAAGATAAACGCAAATGAAAGTGTTCCTTTAGTGTCATTCTGTTTGAAATATTCACATCCAGCTTGTCAGAGATTCTGACATTAAAGCCTGTGAGAATAAATACAACAAAACATTGCTCTCTAGTGGAAATCTAGAGCATTACAAGAGCTATGTTAAGATGAACCTTGCCTGGGAAACAGTGCATTCATTGAACTTGGAAGGATATTTGTCTCATGTGCCTCCCTCTTGACCACGTTGTTTAGGAAAGTGCATTATCTAACCAGCTGATACTTTAACTCAATAAACTCATCTAAACTCCGCTCAACCCTAGAAAACCGGCTTTGATGCACAAAGTAAATGTGATTTTGAGTCTGCTTACGTAAATTGTAATTGCTCTTTATTAAGCACTCACTGATCTGGTTTCCAATCTGGCACGCTATAAAAGAGTTAGACGGATAGAGAGAAGCTCAACTAATATCTATTTATGTGCAAATAAACAGCAAGTTGTTGTCATTGTGGATCTCATTTAAATCTCAGGAGTTCACTCTGATGAAGTAAGATGATCTAGAGCCTTTCTTAGATCTTAACATTTTCCCATGAGATTCTACAGAAGACATTTTGGTCATTATCTAGCGTTTCAGTAAAACATACCTGTTGAGAACACCAGGATGGTGTTGTCCCACAGCCCCCCCCTGCTGCAGGGCCAGGGTGATGTTTCCCACGGCCTCGTCCATGGCCGATACCATGCCGGCATACTGCCTGCGATGGGGGTCTTTGATGAAACTGTAGGGGGCCATGTAGCGCTCGGGCACCTGCAGCGGAGCATGGACTGCTTGAAGCGCAACGTACAGGAAGAGTGGCTGAAAGATGAAGATAACAGCATGTGAGGAAACTTCTGTGACTTACTGACGTAAACAACAGTAGTGAGTGCAACCAAAAAATACTGTATTACCTAAAAGTAGAGACTGATTATAAGGGCAAACATTCAAATCGAATCATTTTGATATATCGAAAGTTGATGGGAAACAGCTGCTTATTTCGACATCCAGCAGTTATGGATCATTCATTCTTGTTTCTACTAATGAAAGTCCAATTCTATCTCCTTAACATCTGTTGAAGTCTCTACCAACTCCTGCTGAAACAACTTCAAAACATTCATCTGCTACTCAGTAATATGTATCTAATATCTAATATATATCATTCCAATAACTTGTATATAGACTCGTACTGCACTATTCCACATGCTCACTTTATTTTATAACTATTTTTCTTTTTGTATTGCTCTTGCTATCTGTATTGTTATTATGTTGCATTATTGGAGAAGCCTGTGACATAAGATTTTCAACAACATAATTAATCAGTAGCTAAGTCAGTTTGACAATAAAGAACCTTGAACCTTGAACCTTGAGGGAAATATCTGTTTCTTTAACTGATGAATCCTCCACTACTGTATGTTCACCAGCCAGCCTCTCACTCTTTCTGTCTGCTGTTTTGTGCTTATCAGGAAGGGAACTGAGGTTTTTTTTTGTTGAGATTTTTGCTGTGGCTGTGAATGATAAAAAAAACTGTGAAAGGGAACCAAAACAGTATTATACTGGCCAAAAGCAAACATATGAGCTGCAACTCACTAATAAAACAAATATAAACAAAAAAAGGGAAACCCCTTCAGTCTAACTGTATACTTTGAGTGTCTAGTGTTTAGATAGGATAAATAACTCAGTAGAAATAAAGTTAATCAGATCATCCAGATCAGGACTTACTGCTCTACACTGTGACACTTTGTGCAGGTGTGTGACTCGAGTGTGTGTCACCTTGTTAGAGTTGTGTTTCTTGATGATGCTGGTGGCTCTCAGGCTGAGCAGCTCAGTGGAATAGTCTCCTTTGTATCCCGTGGCGACCTCTTCTCCGTCCCGCAGGTCCAATGCACAGCGACTCAGGTTCAGAGCAGCAATCCGAGAACAGTGGACATGAGTGAAGTAATCCTCGCTACCTGTGAGGTAACCTGGAGCCCAAAATAATACAATTAGAAATGTGTAATAATGGGAATAAAACTACATCAAATGCTTTGTGATAATTAGATATACCAAAGTATGTGTCAAAGCCCCGGCGTGTGGGCAGGCAGTCCTTCTTGTACATGCCCAGGTGCCACTTGCCCACCATGTGAGTGGCGTAGCCCGCCTCCTTCATCAGCTGAGGCAGCAGTTTCTCGTCCAGAGGCACACAGTAGGGCTGACAGGGCCAGATGATCTGGTGCTGCATGCCGGTGCGGATCTGAGGAGGTTGAAATAAACACATACTGTTAGGAAATACATTTTGTTGAAAATGCATAGACTGTGAAAACATCTAAAATAGCGAAAGGGGAACCGACAGCCTCTGTGGCGACAGTGATGCAAACTAAAGTTTCAAAATAACGACTTTGTCCTCTTGTTCTACTTTCCGACAATGTCCAAATTGGACTTTGCCCCATGGAAAGTTCTATTAAACACACTCAAATAAACAAACACAAAGTCATGCATTGGACTTTACTTGTCATCATGATGATCCCTTCCCTACATTTGACGGGAGTTATAGTTCCTTTTCAGATTTAGATTCTTCAAATTGTTACTACTTTTTAAGCTAAATAAACTATTTTTAACATTCTTAGATCAGCTGGAAAATGAATCTTCACAAAGCCTTTTTTATTGATAAAATAAATAGCCTAAATAAACTTGCCTTGCCACAATCTTAAACCAATGAACAGCAGTAAAATGCAACACACACCATAATGCACCAGTAATAAACTCTAAAATGTACACACCTTTAAATGATGTTGTGCAAATAAAATAATAAAATAGTTTTATCCTTCCTACTGTACTAACTTTTTTTTATATTTATATTTCTTGAGAACATTTAGTATTTAATTTATAACTTTTAATAAGTTGTTAGTATAGTTTATAAAATGGTTCTACATTTGTTCCTTGTTTACAATGTATTTCCTCTTCCTGTTTGTATGTACAGTATACGCCAAAGCAAATTAATTGTATGGGTGAACCTTTCAAAAAACCTGTTAATATTAATAAAAAACATCTTAAATAATGGTACAATTGTTTAACTTTTCCTAGTTTTAATTAACTTAGGGTTTGAATGCATGACTTTTTGCAGTATCTTCAGAGTGTGGTACTTTTGCACAAGGATCTAGAAGATACTTCTCTGACCACTATACCCTGCAGGAATCCATAGAAACCCAGCCATGCAGGGGTCTCACAGGGTGTGGGTCTCAGGGTGAGGGTCTCACCTGGTACCTCCCGGTCATCAGCAGGTTTCTGGACGGGGTGCACAGAGGCTGGACATAGTAGTTCTCCAGGCGGACTCCTGCCGCGGACAGCTTGTCCAGGTTTGGCGTGCGGATCTCTGAGCTGTGGTAGCCGACATCATACCAACCATAGTCATCTGCCAGGATGAACACGATGTTGGGCTGCTGGGAGGCTAACACCACAGAGGAGCTCACGAGAAACACAGCTATAAAGAGCGGATAATCCATCGTTAGTCTCAGGTAAGAACTCAGCAGAGCTCTATTAAATCCAACTCGTCTGTCACAATGTAAATAAGGAAGTCCGGTAGGCTGTATAAAACAGTAGAAGAAATAAAAACATGGCGAATAAAAGGCTTAGAGCTAGGTTGTCATAACTTCTTCTCTTTTTCGTTATAACATCCACACACAAAAAGTCCCTAAAGTTTTAAAATTACTGCGTCTAGCTGTCACTTCCGTGTCCCGCAGATTGAAAACACTGCCTTGACTGCAGTAGCCAATCAAAGGGCTGGAAAAATCTGACAATCACGTGAATGAAAAAACAGCCAATCACATGAGTGAAAACACAGCCAATCACGTGAGAGGAAAAAGCATTCAGTCACATGAATGTGTGGAACCCATACTAACTAAAGAAATTCATAAAACCTGCTGTTAAAATAGGTAATTGAATTAAAGCAAAAAAGCTTAGTTGATTATTGAAATATATTAATGATCCTTTATATTCGCTGTGAAATTGATTAGATACTCTTTTCATAGTAACATTTTCTTATGAGCTCAGTTTAAACATTTATTTAAAAATTATTTTAAACTATCATTTATGTATTTTACACTATTAATTAATGTGATCCAATATATTGTGATGGATTTTATTCATGATTTTATCATCATGGATACAATTAAAGTGTATTTTATATGTTACAAGAGTGAAACAACAAAATGAGGAAGACTTCTGAGGAAGAATGAAAAAGGAGTAAACACCCGCAAACACCTAATACAAGACACAGAGTTCATAGCTTTAATTATGAAGGTATTAATGTAAACCAATTCAATAACAGACAAAAGAGCAGATTTTACAATATTTTACAAGTTTGAAAGCATTCTGTTTGTTTTGTTGATAGTGTTTAAAGACGTTGTCCCATTTGCCACAGTCCCAACATGTTCTTATTTCTAAAAGCAGCAGCATCGTCTTTTTTTGTTAAATTTAAAATAAACGTAAAAGGCATATTTCATAAAAAAAGTATCCTGCACAAAAAAGCTTCAAACGTTTCAAACAATCAAATCCATTCAAGGAATTACAAAAAGTGGATTACTCTTCCAGCACTTTAAGACATTATGGTGCAAGAACATTTAACAAACACTTATTATTTCCATGTAACTAAAACACACATTCATAAGATGCATTATTCACTATCACAATCTGTTCTCCCTTTGTCCAGAAACAAAACAGGAAGAGGAAATTGTGAAGTGATGTGACCTTTTTTTCCCTAAACTGACCACAAACAGTTTAGAACATGGAGCAAAAATGTTTATTTTCTCCATATAAGACTCTTCATGATACATCACAGTAAAACCGTTCTCCTTTGACTGATAACCCTTTATGCTTTTGCCTTGGCTTTCTTCTGCAGCCGGGTGCGGGTGGGCTCTGTGAGGACTAGGGGCTCCTGGATGACCATGGCGGGGTATTTCTTCCCCAGCAGCTCCACCTCCACCTTCTGCCCCACCGAGCACAGCTCCAGAGGCAGGTAGCCGAACGCCAGGCTCTGCTGGGCGGTGTAGCTGTAGGCTCCGGAGGTCGTGTTCCCTACCACCTGAACAGAAGAGATAAGATACATGTTAAAAAAATAAACAGAACAATTTCGCCCAAATGTATCCACCTTTCCCCTCAACGTCACGTTTACCAAAAAGTTTAACAATTTAAAGTATTTTATTTTCTCAACGGCTATTCCACCAATCCCCTAAAATTGGCACATCAAGTATACTGTATAGTATGATACAGTCATATATTTATGTCTTGTATTCAAAATGGAGTCAATCAAACATATCTTAATCTACATGATCCCCCCTCTGCGTGGTGTACTGATATTGGAAACACACATCCTGACATTTATAATAAAACTGGATCATTGGACATCTTCCGCTGTTGCTAACCTTTCCGTTGAGCCAGATGGTCTCGTTGCCTTCGGGGTCGACATCATCCGTGTCCAGGGCGAGGTAGGACAGCTTCCTCTTCAGGCCCTTAGCTTTGATCTCCTGAAGGGCGGCTTTGCCAATGAAGTCAGCAGGCTGAACAAACACAGAAACAAGTGTGGATGATCCAACTGAAGACGCATTTACAGACATGAAATTATTAAAGAGTGACGTGAAATGCTATCAGAGGAGGAAAGTCTTGAATTCGGAATCAGATTAAAATTGTTGCCAGCTTCATGAATAATGCAGCAAATGTTTATTTCAGAACCTATTCCTAGTTTTAGGGATAATAAATTATGGACAATTGGATATGATTGTATGTTAAAAATGCATAAAGGTGAGATGGAGGGTTACCTTGTTCAGTTTGATGAAATATTCCAGTCCAGCCTCCAGAGGGTTGGTGTCACAGTTCATCTGCGAACATCAGTCAAAATTCTTAACCTCAGCTATTTAATGGAATAGTTCAACAATTCAAGCTAAAAGTTAGATGAAAAAAATAGATAGGGATGGGATGATGAGCAATTGAAACAGTTAAAATCATTCTTGAAGAAAATAAAATGATCTTACATTGTACTTTGAATATTGCTCACTAATTTACAGATTAAATGTGTGTGTGTGTGTGTGTGTGTGTGTGTGTGTGTGTGTGTGTGTGTGTGTGTGTGTGTGTGTGTGTGTGTGTGTGTGTGTGTGTGTGTGTGTGTGTGTGTGTGTGTGTGTGTGTGTGTGTGTGTGTGTGTGTGTGTGGTGTGTGTGTGTGTGTGTGTGTGTGTGTGTGTGTGTGTGTGTGTGTGTGTGTGTGTGTGTGTGTGTGTGTGTGTGTGTGTGTGTACCTCAGCTCCCCAGCCTCTGAAGCCCTTCTCCAGTCTGAGGGAGGACATGGCGTATGTGCCAAAATTGTCGATGCCTTGGTCCTTTCCTGCTTCCATCATGGCCTGATACACAGCCGCCATGTTCTTCTGATCGATGTACAGCTCCCAACCAAGTTCACCTAAACTCATACACGCAAATGTAGAATTTCACCATAGAGTATGTTGAGACACTCAGCACTTATAAATAGGCGATCGATAAATCTGCCAAAATGGCCCGGTATTCTTATTTTTAGCATGCCTAATATTTAATAACTGGTATTCTGTTAACAGAAATAGGCTTCCATAGGAAATAAGATGACTTCACCTAGTTTATCTTTGTGCCTTATTCTGTCTAGTTTTAAAATACTGAAATACAAGCCGTAGTTAATTATAGAAGATTCATAGGATTTGTTGGGGTTGAAGAAACTTAACATTTAAATAGCACTTTTCCCAGTGCTCAAAGAAGCTTAACTTCACAGAATCTCCAATTTAATGAAAACAAACCTAAGATACATTGATATACACTAGAGGGGGTACTTTACCACATTTCAGGTGTAATATCTTTATCTCGGTTTTATTTGTCATAGGGTTTTTTTTTTACTTGAGTCAACTAAAACTCTGCTGTTCCTCTGGTAGAATATTGAAGAAACAGGATATTACGTCACAATGTGTGGAGTACCTGTGTAGGAGATCCTGATGGCCCGGACAGAGACGCCGGCCAGCTGGATGACCTTACAGTGGAGAAACTTGAATCCAGCATCACTCAAATCCTCATCCGTCAGCTTCTGCAGAACTTTGCGGGAGTTTGGTCCTGCGATGCCCAGCACGCCGATATCTTCTGTCATGTTGGTAATGTCCACGTCATAACCACCATCTACAGCCTCTGCCTCTATATACCTGAGTAAATCCACAGAGAAAACGCTCAGCATGCAGGAAAAAGATTCTTATATTGTCTCATTAATGCTATCCTGCATTATCAATTAGGATTCATCGTTAAATTAATTTGCTGGACTAACACTAAACTAATTCTCTTTGGGTTTTGTACCAAAAAAAGACATTTTCCCCTTTTTTCTGACCAAACGATTCATAGCGTAATATGAAAAATATTCGATAAAGATATAAATTGTTGGTTTCAGTCCTAGCAGATATAAGGAAATGGGCCAACAAAGGTAGGGTAGATATAGACTACATTATTAGTAAAATAATATATATTTAAAATACTATAAATGTTGTATGAGAAAATAAATGCCATTGATACATTTGTTAGACCTCAGGGACACCTCAGGGACACTGACTGTTAACATAACTTAGTAGCATTATTACTTGACCACATTAAATATTTCACATTGTGCCACATGATGTGACCTCCATGAACTCTTCATCTGTAGTTTGGTGCACTAGAGGCCGGTACAGAGCACTAAACTGAGGTAGAGAGAGTGTTAACTTACTGCCTCCTGATTGGAGCAAATGGAGGGGAGTAGTGTTAACAGCTGCTATAAGGTTTTAAGTTTCTGCAGTATAAAACAGACTGGGAGAGAGTTCAGCAAAGCTTGAGCCTAAGGGTGTGTGTGACTGAGAACAAACATCACAATAATGAATGTTTGTAGACGTGTGTGTCTCAAAAATCTGCACTGGCTTCCTATTACACAAAGGATACACTTCAAAATCTTACTTTCAACATACAAAGCAAATACACGTCAGAGATGCTGCACTGTTACGAGCCAGCCAGAGCTCTCAGATCATCAGGAGCGGGTTTACTCATTGACCCCAGAGTCAGAACTGCATTTGCTGAGGCAGCTTTTAGTTTGTATGCACCACAAGCCTGGAACAAACTGCCTGAACATCTGAGATACACCCCAAACATGGGTTCTTTTAAATCAAGGTTAAAACCCTTTATTTTTAATGCTGCCTATCCTGAGATGCTATAACCGTGCCTTATCATTGCACTTTTAGCTGCAACCATTATTTTGTCGCTTTTATGGATTGCCTTTTTTTTGTTTGTTTGTTTTGTTTTGAACTATTATGTGTTAAATGCCTATGTGAAGCACTTTGAATTGCCTCTGTGTCTTATAATGTGTTATACAAATGAACTAACCTTGAACCTTGTGGGAGGTATTATGCCTGTTACCCTGGTATATAGTGAGTGGTGTTAAGTAACTAAGTACATTTACTCAAGCACCGTACTTAAGTACATTTTGAGCTCGGCCTACTTGTACTTAATTTGAGTATTTACATTTTACGTTACTTTGTACTTCTACTCCACTACATTCATTTAATACCTTTAGTTACTTTACAGATTTTGATTAATGATGTGAAATATAATCAACACTTAAATCAGACTTTAGTTACACCTGGAGTAAATTCACAAGCTACCCTGCAGTAAAAACAAAGTAGGATTCCTCTTGATAAAGTGGAAATA